AAAAAAAAAAAAAAAAAAAAAAAGAGTTCCTCAAGTCCACAGTCCTCCACCTAGATAACTTGGGGCTGTATGTTTGAAGTCAAAGGGACCTATAAAGGACACCTTGGTGGGGGGGACTGTCCCTGGCGATGTCCTCTGGGACAGACAGGAACTGAATTCGGGCTTCACCTTCCCTCTCCGACCCACCCCTGCAGCCTGCAGAGCTCTGCTGGAATTTCACCTTCCTCATTCATGTCTCTGGCTGACTTGGGGTCCAGTGTTTTTCTCCAGATTCTGGTTTTTAAAATATACTCCCCTTTCCCTCTCTTACTGTGTGTATATTTTCCGCCTCCAGTCTTTAATGAAGTCACATGAACGACTAGAAGGTGAACAGTTGTCATGGTGATGGTGTTTGGGTTGTTCATTCGGTTCAGGGAAATGAAATTGAGGGTGCTGGTGAATAACGTTATGTTCACTTGGCCTTTTAATAATACTAATGCGATGTCAAACCAGGCTTCAATATCTACTCTGCAGCAGTGAAGCATTAAAAAGTGATTCCTTAAAAGTAAGGGATATTTTAAAATCATTTATTCAGATTGACCACCCCTAATCCATAAAAATCCGAAATCCAGAACTTTCCAATCGCTGAAAGTTTTTAAGCACTGACCTGACACCACAAATGGGAACATTCCATACCTTGAAACTTTATTTCATGCATAATTTAAAATATTGTATGAAATTACCTATGTGGTCTGTGTCTACGAAGTATATAAAACACAGATAAATCTCATGTTTAGACGTGGTCCTGTCCCCTTTATGTAAATATTCTGAAGTCAAAAACTTCTGAAACACTTACGGTGGGAAGCATTTCAGGGAAGGGATATTCAACTGGTGGTTATCAGTTACACATAAAGTCATGTGTTAGTTTGTCCACCTTAAATATATGCAGTGCAGAATCAGAGTGTGTGAGTTTTAATTCATTTTGTCCAGAGAGAAGTAGAGAAGGGTTGGGTCTACAGTTTCATGAATTTATGTTAATTATTCTGAGGCAAAATTCCTATTGCCCTCTAATTTCTAATGTGTTCAGTAAAATACAGTTGAGTTCTCAAAAAAAAATAATTTTCAATAACCTTGGTGCTACCCAGTAGTCAATTGATTTATTCCAATTTTGCTGTTATTATCTAGTTTGAGGTTGGAAGTTGATGAGAAATATCATGATATGAAAAAGTCTCAAAAATATTTAATAGAATATTTGTTTTACTATATGTTAATGTAAAACTGTCTTTAAAAAATTGTTATTTCATTTGTTCTAGATTTTGGACACCCCCTACTTACTAAATAAGGAATGGGAGTATTATATCTCTGGCATGGTGCTCAAAAACCCAAATGTTAAACTCACTTTTGAACAAGTTTACAGGTATCAGTAATTGCATTACATATTTTGCTGTGTAAAATGTCTTTTCTCCAGAAGTAAAATTTTGCTTTCAAAGTGTTTCTTTTAACCTTACTCAGAAGACTTTTCAGTTTCAGAGCTATGCTGTTCCCTGGTCTTAGCAAAGAGACTAAAAGATAATCCTGGGCCAGAAACTTTTGAAACCTGGGAATAGTGATGCCTCGATTCCTCTTTCAAGGTATCTCTGGGATTCTCTGGCTAAGGAGACCCTAAGGTGCGTCGGTGGGACCGTGTAAGAATTCAGTGCATGGTCCAATTTCCAGGCGTCCTAATAGTGATGTAATTATAGGGCTGGTCCGAGCAATCAGGCCACCCCTGCCCCTCTGCTCTGAGGTCCCTGTGATCTTGGACAGTTCCACTTTCTCTCCATTTAACAGCATTTCTGACAATAAGACTCTCGTCTGGGGGACATTTTAGAGTCCAGCAAGGTATCTCAGCTTGGAGCAATGCCTGACACACCCTAAGAGCAGGACAGAATAATACTGTCCCTACTTATAATTGTGCAACACACACTTCCCTATCTTTGACACATAAGGACGTGGTAAAACTCCATAACCTAAAGGCGAGTATCCTTGGAAGGCTGTCTGCTACACACATTTTTCTCAGCCTTTTAAAACCACTTTGAATCTCCAAGGTCCTATCGGCGGCCCAGGGGTGTGCCACGGTGATATGCCACAGATTTGCTCTGTATATTGAACCCCTCCCTTCCTTCAGCCTTTCCATCACTTGCCTGTTTGTACCTCCAAAGAGGGGGAGGTACCCTCTCCTTAGTGGTGAGGCCACTGTCGGACAAGGTGACCAAGTGAATGTTCATGTAGCTAGCGTCCTCCCCTGGAAACATCCCCGCTTCTCAGGCAGGTCAGCTGCAGTGCTGATCCCACCTGTGAGCTGTCTTCCCACTGCCTTGGTTGCTTTCTTTCCTGTGTTGGGTCTCTTCAACCCATTAAGTAAGCGTGTTTTGAAAGTCGGCAGCCACATAGCCACATGCTCATGTGAAAGGGCCAGGTGAGCTTGGGAAACTGGAGAGTTGTCTTTTGAGCCCTCCCAGTAGTTGTAGGTGATCCACCAGGACAGGCAATGAGCTTGTCCCTAGCTCTGGGTTCTGAGGAGTCAAGGATTCACCATTGTTGAAGCTTCCCCCAAAGAAATTGTTGATGTTTTTTCTTGCCTCTTAGTTTAGCTTTTGAAACAGTCCCCCAAATATTGTACAGTATTCTTTTCATCCTCAGTCTAGTGTTACTTCACATCATGTACCTTTGTAGAGGGAAAATGTCCCTGCTGGTCTGAGAGTTGATAGTCTTGTGTGTTTGATCTCTGCTCTCAGCCATAGAGAAAGAAGTCACTTAAAGATTTGATACCAAATCACAGGACAGTTTTAGACCAACAGTGGTATTTTTATTTTTATCCACCATGAGATCAGAGGGTTGGAGGATGTGTGTTCTAACATGGCATGTTTCTGGTGAATGAAACTAAAATTATACAGGCAAAATGGTAATGCACACTGAGGGATGATGTCCAAAAGGTGATTGTGTTAGTCAGCCTTGTGTCACTGTGACAAAATACCCGAGAATAACTTAAAAGAGGCAAAGTTTATTTTGGCTCATAGTTTTAGAGGTCTCAGTCCATGGTCAGCTGCTTTCATTGCTTTTATGCCTGTGATGAGGTAGGACATCACGAAAGAGCATGATGGAGAATGCTGCTGTCCTCTTGGTGGTCAGGAAACAGTAAGGGAACAGGAAAGCCAGGAAGGATGGGGCCAGGGACAAGATGTGCTCTTCAAAGGCATGGCCCGGCTGCCCTCTTCTGCCAGTTAGGCCCTGCCTGCTAGTAGCTCATTCACTGTGATCTCATTAATGGATGAATCCGCTGGTTAGGTCAGAATTTCCATGGTGCCATTACGCCTTTGGTTTATAGACAAACTGGACTGAGTGTCTGGATATCTTCACACCCTAGCCTGTCACAGCCTCACCTTTAGACATCTAAGCATATATTTGACAAGTGAAGCCAAAATAGTTGAAATATAGAGAGGAAATGGTTTTGGCAAGGGCTTTAATAAAGCCCATGATATCTTTGTAAGTATCTCTTTCTAGGAAGTATCATTTTGACTTTTTCACAGAGAGTTTATTTCTTCTCTACTTACAAACTTGTGCACAGCAGTGCAGGAAATAGCATAAAGAAAATAGACAGAATGATGTATTTATAAATCCCATTATATCTATTCCAAAACTAAGACAGGAAAAGGAGTCAGTAGTGGTGAGGGCTGTGGATTCTTTCTGCCAGTGATGGCACCTTGAATCCATTGGTGTATCCACAGATTGCACAATGAGAAACAGACTCTTGTGTCATCCTCAGCGGTGGGCACAGGTAGCCACGTTGCTTTTCTGGGTCATGATTTCTCTTTCTTCCCACAGTGATTGCAAGAATGATATAGGCATTTACACCACACTTAAGCTAGACAATTTCTTCAATGTCAGTGAGCACCTCAACATTGAGAAGGTGAGTTGGTAGAACCAGCCGTGTGCTTGACATGTTGTAGCACTAAATACAGTTGTCTTTCTTTTTGCTGAAATGGATGTGAATTTCTCTAAGATAAAATAAACTGTCTTAAAGTGGCATTTGGTATATCCACAAGGTGTGCAGGCCTCACCTTGATCAAATTCTATAACTTTCTCTCAGCCCCAACGACTTGTCTATTTTGTGGCTTTAGTTTTTCTAGTAGATTACCCAGGATCCTCCAAAGGACCTCACTTAAAACTCTCCCCAGGGAAAGATTTCATTTCACTGAGTGTTGATGATCCCCTAGGCAAAAGTGCTACCTGCTCCCCAGGGAGGTTGGTTCTCCAAGACCAGGCCTCTTTATCCCCCAGCTCCCAGGTCAGGAAGTATGACCCATACCCTCTTCACTCCTGTGTGTCATGTGGCCCCAAGATGGGCTCTGCCGAGCACTGCTGGCCCTTGGCAAGAAGCAGTAAGGCTGAAGCAGTGACTTTCTTGCCTGCTTTGCTCCAGTCCACACCCCTGTCTGAGTCTTAAGACTCTGAAGAAGGACCAGTCCAAAACACACCAGGCAGAAGGAAACAGTAGAGTCCCTGCTGCATGGGTCTAGAGCACCATTAGCCTAGAAGGCTCTAGAGAGCTCTCCTTCCATTAGTAAAATGCTTCACTTACCTCTAAATTGCTCACGCAAGTCCAGTGGATTGCCATCACTTGATTCTGGATAGTGGTCCTTGCGCTGAGAAGTCATGTGTTCGAGCCACATTGAGCTCCAGTTATAGAGCCCTTTTAGTCCTCCTCGTAGCCCAGGAAGTTTATATTTATAATCCCATGGAAAAGTTACTGGAATTGTGATAAATTAATTTTAGTTTACCACTTTCAGTGCAACCCACAGCATAAATGAAGACACAATAATATATCCAAAATGGTGGGGAGTCAAGGGGGTCCTGAGTCCGGCCACAATGATGGCTATCCAGAACAAAGTCCTATACCCTGGCCTGACCACAGATTTTATTCATTTGTGAAGAAGGGAGTGGCTTGAGGATGAGTGACTGTGAGAGTGGCAGGAAGTATGTGAGGGCCAAGAGCTGGGCTAGGTAGGAGGCCTGAAATCACCTCTGCCATATTCAGAGAGAAGGATATGCAGAAAGAGTAATCTACATAACACAACTGAGAGAGTATCTAACATTTTGGGATCCTGCTTTAGCTCTGATGTGTAATCTTGCAAGCCCCAGGAAGTCATAGCCTCTATCTCAAGGCTTAATCTCAGTCCACAGTGTGGAGCATTGCCTTAAATCCCGCCTCATCCGAGCTCATACATGGGAACAACGGGGAGTCTGGGGAAACATGCCTGTTATCTTTAGATTACCTCAGCACCTCAACTAGACCGATATGCATTGCTTAAAGCCAACTGAAGGGAGAAGGAAAGGCTCCTAGCCAGCTCTGTACATATCAATACATGGAAATAGGGTCAGGCTTAGCCAACATGAAAGAGGAGACAGTTACTCCTCTTTCAAGGAGAGTTCCCAGGTGGTTCTCGGCGTCCTTCTTTGGGGCTTCTAGAGTGTGAGCAGATCCCAAGAGGAACCAAAGAAAGGGAAGACCTCCAAGCCCTGCAGTTTGCCCACTGAGGCAGCAGGAAAGTGACCACAAGGCCATGATGATTTGACAGTCCTCAAAATACAAAGAGCTTTATTTGAAAGCCGCATATAAATTTTTCATTGATTATCTTCCCTAAGCACTCCTTACATGTCCATAAACAAAGGGCAGTTTTGTAACTAAATCCTAGCTAGAAGCTCTCTTCTTTGCCCGTCACACCATGAGCCATGGCCCCTGTGCCATGCTGGGGTGCAGTTGAGAGAGTCCCATCTGGGTCATACTGCCTGAAACCATTGACAGGCCATTAGAACAAGCCTAGATCAACAACCACATCACCATGATCTTTGCCTTAGTAACCAAACACTGTTTCCTAGAATGTATCTCCCATGTCTTGCTACTACCCAGCCCTAGGTTTGCTATGCTAGTCTCATCCCTGGAGTGCCACCCTAACCTGTCCCTTCCAGCATCTTTTTGTCAAGGCTGGGAGTTCAGAAGCTACCTCCTCTCTACTGTCCCTCTAATCCATGCGTCCTTTTGAGTTCTTTCTCCTGGGTGTCCCAGTGGAGTTCATGTCCCATTCTTATGACACAGCTTGTTCCCTTTGAGGTCTTTGAGGGGAAAGATAGAATGAAGAGTGCTTGCCATGGACATAGGGAGGCAGGGAAGAAAGAAATGCCCAAATGCATGCTTACACTTACTCCTGCATAATTGTATTGCCCTTTTAAAGCATTAAATTGGTGACATTCTTTGAGAATAATGGATTGATTTACAATTTGTTTCATACAGTATACTGGAAACATAAGCAGTAAACTTGAAAATATGAATTTAAATTTTGATAAAACTGTTCTGCTGGATGAAGAAACAAGAAAAAAGCTTCAGACCTTTGCGAATTCTGGAATACAGGGTATAGATTTTGACGCCTTCTTGACTCAGGTATAATGCATGTCCACATGTGTGATTTTTGGCGGGGGAATTACAGTACCAGATGTGCATATTTTTTAAATTTGTGTTTTTAATGCACAAGATTCACATAACATACAATCAGTTATTTTTAAAGTGAATAATTTAGTGGCATTTAGTATATTCACAATGTTGTACAATTACCACCTCTGTCTCGTTCCAAATATTTTCATTACCCTAAAAGAAATGCTGTATCATTACTAGCTGCTCCTGACTCTCCCAAATTCTTGTCTCCCACCATTCTGTGTTATGTTTCTGTGGATTTACATATTCTGGATCTTTCACCTAAACAGAATATACAATATATGACCTTTTCTATCTGGCTTCTTTGACTTAGCATGCTGTTGAGGTTATTACATGTTATACATATGTCAGTACTTCATTCTTTTTTATGGTTGAATATGAATCTGATATGGATAAAGTAGAAAGGAAACTATTAGAGAAGAAGAAAGGGCTAGGGGAGGAGTAAGGGAGGGTCATAAGGGGTAATGGGGGATCAGTACAATCAAAGTATATTATACACATGGAAACTTCACAATGAAACCCAATAGTCTATATAACTATTATGTACTAATAAAATATCTATATATTGGAAAAATGGTATGTGTGAATAAGAATGTTGTCACTTATGTAAGAGTTTCTAGCCTTTATTTATTTATGATTATGGACCCTTATTTGATCTGTTGCCTGCTAGATGTTAAGGTTTAAAAATCTCATTTCTGTAACATTATTTTTGTTCACTTCTTTTGTAGACTGATCAAGCCCCTGTAAAAGTGAATCTCTTATCATTTGCAGATGACCTAGAAGAAAAAGTCAACCCTTTGGTGAGTTCAAATAGTCCCCTTAAATGGTGTAGGAGTTCTAGAAGTCACATGTCAATACCATGGCGAGGGAAGTGACCAAAGTTTCCTTTTTGCTTGAGTTTGACCTGGTTGAACAAGGCCTATCTGATGCAGATTAGCAGTTCTTATCAGCAGCCAAGGCCATGCTGCTTTCTTACACACGCAGGGATGCATGCATGTGCACCTACACACACGTGCCATTTTTCTCACAGTATAGGGAATACAAATTGGGTGTGTGGGAGGGAAACTCCCCACGGTGCTTTGCATCATGGTAGTAAGTGGATAATGGTGGGCAGAGGCACCATTAGACCCGGCTGTCTTCTACCTCATCACCTCTTCTGCTGGATGTTGACTATGTGACCTTACTTGTCCCTCCCAAGAAGCAGCAGACTAGAAATGAGGACCTGGGGCTCTGGAGGAAGCCTCTTCATAACAGTGGGAGATTGAGCAAGATATTTTGCCCCTCTGTGTCTTTGTTTCCTTGTGTGGAAAAAGGGGGCACTAGTACCTTTCCTGTAGGACTGTAGTTGTCCATGAACTGAACACTAAGTGTGGATTAAATAAACAGTTCTGGCAGAACCTCAGTTTTTTCCACAGTGGCTGTCTCATGGTGTGGCAGAGAAAGAGAGAACACAGTCTCAGGGGCTTAGGAAGGGCTCCTGAGGGAGAGGTGTGGCCTGGAGTCTCTGGATCTATGATTTAGAGTGGGGTATCTTGGTGTAGCCCCTCATGGCCAGCCCCTGTCCCTGCCTACAGCCATCAGTTTCCAGTTTGGGAGGGTGGGTACAGACGATGTCATGGCAGCAGGGGCCCCTGTGCGTGTCGTGTGTGCTTCGGAGTCTGGGGAGATAGTGTTCATCTTTGTTTTCTTCTCTTTGTAGCCCTCAGGAAACGTGAAAGATGACCTCCAAGGCCAAGCAGACACAATTAGAAAGATTCACTATGAACAAGTCCTTCCCATGGAGCAGTCACTGGTAACACTCACCAAGCTGTGATACTTCCCTGGGGCCTGGGCCAAGCTGATCGCGCCCGCCCGGTTGCCTTCAATTTAGCCTCAGGACACCCGCTTACCTCACAGAGCCCCCTGCCAGGGCCTCAGGCTCAGCTTCGCAGAACGCAAAGGCAAAATTGTGCCACTCCTGGTCTTGCTTCCTCTCCCTTGTCCCCGGGAATGTGAGCAGTGAGTTGCCATGGGTTCCTGGCTCTGCCTCCTTGCTCCGCTTTCTGCAGGTGCTTGTAGGTCTCCTGAACCCCGCATGTGGCATAGTACTGATGGTTTTGTTCTGTCTCAGTCTCACTACTGTCCAATTCTTTTTCTCCAAACTCTGCCTAGAAATATGAGAAGGGGAGGGTAAGTGCTTTTCTTCCCTCATCCAGCATCCCTGTAGCTCTGCTGCCTGTCTCCGAGGCCGTTTTCCTTCTCCTTCCATCCTGGCCTTCCTGGTCTTCTCACTTCCTTCTTGAAGGCAGTAAAAGCAGTTTGCAGCCCAGAAGAACAAAAGTAGTGTGAGGCCGACCTCATTTCACACCCTGCCTCTCTGCCTTTCTGTAGTATTGTAGCTTCTCAAGTTCCTCACTGAACAATAAAATTTTAAAAAGTAAAAGTAAAAATGGCAGGAATGATTCCTACATTGCCATTACCAGGCTCACAGTGATAAAGGACTGCTGATCTCAGAGAGACTCAGAAATGGGAGGAATTGTTATGCTTATAAGCAGGTCCAAGGGGGAACTGTGGGGGAATTGCGCCCTTGGATCAGTTGCTCAGGTTTGGAGCCAGACTTTATGTCTGTTCAGTTCAAAATCCAATCTCTGGGTCTAGTTGTAATTGTTTTTCTTGCTGATTTCATTATTCACTAGGGAAGTCACAAAGTCCTTCTCTTGAATTTGCTTAATGTCTGTCCTGGGCTCCTCTCCATGGCTATCCTTGATTACACCCAGTACAAAGTTGTTAACATTTTAAACTGGTTCGGCATTTTCCTTAAACCCTTTTCTTCAAGTGGATAGGGTTCCTCGGCCTCTTCAGAGCCTGGCAACCTGTTCATCAAAAGGCGGTTGTTTTGCAAATGGTCTAAACCAGGGGTTGGCAAACTATGGCCTTCATGAACGGCATACAGCCTAGGGGCCAAATCCAGTCTGCTGCCAGTTTTTAGAAATAAAGTTTTATTGGAACATGGTCATGCTCACTTATTTAACAACTGTCTGTGGCAAAGCAGAGTAGTTGGAACAGACTACGGCTCCCAAAGCCTAAAGTAGTTACCGAATGGCCCCGTATAGATAAAGATAGCCACCCTGACCTAAAGCACTCAGCTGAACCATACTTGTTTTCAAGCTTTTTTTTTTGTATTGGGAATCGAACTTAGGACCTTGTACCTGCCAGGCAGGCACTGTGCACACTGAGCTATATCCCTGGCCCACCATACCTGTTTTTAGCGTCCCTTAGTATCTTCCACTTTGATCAAACCTACATCAAGGACTTTCTTGGACACCTTGCATGTGTTGTGCTACCCTGTTTATCTTTCAAATATGTATCCTGATTTTCTCCCATTAGCGTCATGACGTGTGTGTAATGCTTTTCCTAGAGGGAAGCCCTTCCTGTGTAAAGTCAGCTTTGCTGATGGTATTGGGGGAAGAGGACACAACACATGATCTTGATGCTTTGTATAATAATTTTGAAAATACTTTATTTGTTCCCCAGAGCAATTTAAAGGAAACTGTCATGACAGTTCAACGTACAAGCAGTGGATTGCAGGTCAGAATTTATTTTACTTTTCTGCCATGGGTTTTGTTATCAAATACCATGCACAGAATTTCAAAGATATTGATTTTTTTTTAATATAGGTATTCAAAGCAAAGAAAAAAAGAAAGTCTCAGTTATCTACTCATTTTAAACTGAGTTTTCTTACCATATTCTTCCTGCAAATGCTTCTATGGATGTAGACCTCTTCTTAGGTTGTTAGATATACAGATGGGAAATACATAGGTTGTTAGATATGTAGGATACAGGTGTAGAAGGCACACTGGTCACTTTTACAAAGATAATGCTGCATAAGAAACTGTCAGTCTGAGAACCTTCTAACCACAAGAATTTATCTTCCGTGCTGGGCTGACGGCAGGCTTCTCTACATATCTTCCCTATAAAACTCCCAACATAAGGGGCAGCTCCTGTCTCGGCATGTCATGTTCTTTTACTGGAGGACATGATTCAGGGGAGAATGGTATGGAAATGCTGGTTGCCTTTTAAACACTGTTCAGAGCTGGCGGCACTGCCAGTTTGCCTACACCACTGTCCAAAGGAAGTGACGTGGCCACGTCTGCGGTCATCATCGTCAGGGTGGGGAAGTACAGGTACTGACAGAGACCTTGCCCAGTATAAAAACTGCTTACATAGCACTTATTCTGCTTTAGGTATCATGTGGCATTTATACATAGTGGAGTACAACTCTGCTATCAAGAGAAATAAATTTGAGTCATTTCTAGGAAAATGGATGCATGCTGAGACCATAATGTTAAGTGATAAAAATCACACACAAGCTTAAATATCACATGATGTCTTTTATAGGAGAAGTATAAATAATAAAGAATGCAAATAAGTAAAGAGCAAAATAAGACAGAAAATTGGAAACAGGGAGATAGATCTTCTGAAATGAGGAGGGGATTAAGAGATGCAGGGAGTGGGGAGGAAGCAGAGGAGAAGGGTATAAAAATGAATGAATATGTGTTAGAGGCTGGGCGTAGCGGCACAGGCCTGTCATCTCAGCCCTTTGGAGGCTGAGGCAGGAGGAGCACTGCTGTGAGTTCAAGTCCAGCCTGAACTGCAGAGTGAAACTGTCTCAAAAAGACAAAAAACAATGACAACTAAAAACAGTATGTGTTAGGTACATGTACCAACTCCCCATTACCCATTATACGATGGATGTAGTCATTATGTACTGCAGACATGTACTAATAAAAATAAAAACAAACAAGTAATCTTGGGGTGTTGTAAAGTATAGAGGAAGGTGTGAGATGTGGAAGTTATTCACAAATACTCTGCCTTTTTATATACCGGATGGGAACATCTGCGGCTTTTGGTATCCAAGGGAGGCTTCTGGAATTAATTTGTAGGGACAACTGTACTGGAATTGAGTTGCAGGTTGTTTAATTAATCCCTCTGGCACTTGCTCCCCCTCCATTGTTGTTGTTTTTTCCAGGACAAAGTGAACAATGTCCTTGACTCTGTGGATTCTGCTCAGAACTTTATCGAAAACAATACTGAGGATATTATTGCTGAAGTGAGTTTTCTTTTCAAAAACAAGCCTCTCAGGAAGGGAGCATGTGTCCATTCCATGACTAAATACCCAGCAAATTTAAGTATGCCATTGTTATTTTAGTGATTTTACTAACCTTTGATTTCTTTCCAGGAAGTTAAGAAGTATGCGAAAATATTACTAGGGCACTTTGAACGTTATATTCAGTGGGTCAAGGAAACTGTAAGTAGTAAATCTTTTTATGAATATAAAGGGGCCCACACCATAGAATAGTCATTTTCTAGGTTAAAATCTGCAGGAAATAAAATTGAATTCCTGGTAATTTGCTTGGAAGTGAAAGGAATTCGAAGTATAGAGACCAAGCCCTCCAGGGCCAGCCACCAACCACGTAAAGCACGTGACCCCTTCCGGACCCTTTTGTCCTTTCACTCACTGTTATCATATGGGTTCTTCCATTTTCTTCTTCCCCCCTGTGTCAGATAACAAAGGGGTCAAATAAAAAATTTGGGCTAAAACCCTTTGTTTAATAGGCATACTGTTTAATCCTCTTAGCTGTCCTAGCAGATGGGTTTTCATGTTCCAAGTAACAAACAAATGAACCTGGAAAGCGAGGCTCGGAGAGAGTAAGGGTCTTGTTTAGACCGTATAGCTTAATGCTGCAAGACCCATCTCTACAAATTAGATGTCAGCTCAGTGTCTTAGGGGAAGGGAGGTCCTTTTAGGAAAGCAGGCCGAAAGTAAGAGATGTGCCCAGTTTTCACCGAGTTTTCTGAGTGTGACTCAGTGAAAGTTTACCTTTGTTTCTTGTCCCATAGATCACTGAGAAAATGGGGTCCTGCAAGCCCGTGGCCACCGCCCTGGATTCTGTCATTAATGTCGTTCTGTGTGGCTACATTGTCCACCCTCTGGTAAGACTTCATCTTTCCGAAGGATGCATCATAAATCCACCATCTTGGATCTCTGCCTCTAGATTGTAATAGACACTATAATACTAGTTTCCTGCTTGGGTTTGATAGAGTTCTTGAATACAAATTCTAAAATCTAGATCAGTGAGTTAGTACTGATACCTAATGGATGAGAGAAGTGAAAGTCCTAGTTGCATACCTTCACTCTTTACTAAATCCCATGACAGAAGTCAGGGCAACATTCTTGTTTGTCAGGAATCATAGGAAGGAGGAAGTCACTGGTGAGCTGACGGCTGATGTTCAGGATTGCAAGCGGAACTAGTCACACAACCCTAGAGCAGCACTGAACCTACTTTTTTATTTCAAAGGTCTCTACTATGGACACTGCAGTGATAAATTTCACTTAATCAGATTTATTTCTCAGCTCTACTCATTGCTCAGGGTTTACCGACTCTTCCTGAGCTGATTCCTCACTAGCTCCACCTAGTGTCTCAGTGGCTTCCCACCCGCATCAGGATAAAGGTCCATCCTCTCAGTAGGCTACACGAACTCTGCGTGCTGGGGTGCCTGGCCATCATGCTGTTGCCTCCCCCTTCTCCCTGTGCTCCCACATCCTCATTTTCTTTCATTTCTTCCAGCGCATCTCACTGTCCTCACGCCAGGCCTTGGCACAGGCTCTCTCTCCTGTTCTGTCTCTCCCCACCCCTCCACCCTGTCCCCCCAGCTAACTTCCCCAGATTTTGTAACATACTCTAAATTCAAGCTCCACTTCTCCGTTTTCTGAGCGCTGACTTTGAAAAATGATTGAAATTTTCTGAGCTTCCTCACCTGAATGGGGCTTCTTTTTCTCTGAGAGTTCAGTGAGGTTATGTAAACTCTGTCAGCACCATCCTTGATATATTAACACAGTCACTAAGTGTTCACTATTGTTGCTTGTTCAGTCTTCAGGTCTAGCTCAGACAAACCTTTTTTCCAGGCAGGATGCTCTCTGATCCTCCAAACCTCAAGGCTCCCTTTTCCACATTCCCACAGAACGCTCCGCTGTTCCGGCAGCGCTGTTGCTGCAGTGGAATTACACATGTATGTGCTTCGCTAAGATCTGTTCCCTGCAGCACGTGCTGGATCTGAAGCCCACGAGTACAGGGCACGTGGCTGCGGTGTGCCTCGTGGGGCAGCCTCTCCAGCAAGGAGCATCACTGTGGAGTGCATGAGTGACCACACAGCCTTCTGTCTCTGCATCATGTTGTGCTATCTGTCCCTCGCCCTGTCCTCACTCCCATGCCCCTCTGTCTGCTGGGTGTACTTGTGTGCCCAGTGGAAATGACCCTTCCATCCTCAGAGCTGTGCACATCCTGGGCCCTGGCTTCCGGGCTGCTTCCCTCCTCTGGCAACCTCTTCCCCATTTTGTCTTGTACTTGACAGCTCCCGCTGTGGTTTGAACCCATTATTAACAGACTCCTGAGTTCTCTTTCTTGATTCTGAGCTGACTTCTCCCTGTATCCATCCTCCACCCCCAACCAGTCAAGTCACTGGACTTCCAGACGCCTAGAAGCAAATGGGTGGCCTGGAGGCTGCAGGGGAGGTGATGGCTGGGGCTTTGTAGCAGGTGGCTGAAAGAATGAGGAAGAGCTCTGGGCATCCACTTTACCGACAAAGTGAATCATAGGCCAACTAACTGCTTCTTTTATATCTTGATGGAAACCCAGAGGATTGATGGAGCTTCTAGAAAAGGGATAAGGCCGTAAAACACCAAAACTAAAACAAGATTAGAAATATAGCAAATCTTCTAGTCAAAGAACAGGGAAGGGAAGGAAGAGCACATTTATGGAAACTTAGAGGTCAGAGAGGAACCACCAAGATGCAAAAGTAGATTTCACCAGGAGCAAAGCAGATATAAGGGCCGTGCCAGGAGAGATCAGGTGGCCCCTGGGATGTCCCAGCTGTATTCTGCAGTGTGGTGGCCAGCGGAGTGGCTCTGGGTGTTGCTGCAGCATTGCCCAAACGGGATCAGACATGAACTTCTGTAGGAACCTGAAGGTAGTAAGTGTACAAGGCTGGCCAGATGTGATGTTCAGCCTCCATGGTACCCTCAGGGTCATACTGCATGCCTAGCTGCTCTGATTGGCTGGGAAGGTTAAGGGATTTGAATATATTTGAATATCATCCTGCACACGTTAGAGATGTGGACTGTGCCAAACCAAAGGCCAGATCTCCCCTTGAATGAAGTACAACTGCTTAACTAAACTTGCCTAGCTGTTGCTCCGTGGATGCAAGGTCTCAGTGTCATGCAATGAAACTGCAGGTTTTTCAACAAAAGGCATAAATCCAAGCTTATGGGTGAGATCTGAGTCCCAAATATTGGCAACTTTTGTAAAAAGACTACTAACATCGCTTTTTAGACAAAACACGGTTGAATTCAACCATAGGAAACCTTCAGAATAGGTTAAATTAAATATGGAGCATCCATTTAGACACTAGTACGTGCTAAGCATCACTTCTGTCTTCTTCAGGATGAAGGATGCCACTGTCCCAAGTGTGCAGGTGCAGAGCCACACAAGAAAGAGTACACCTCTTAAGAGGGACTTCAACTTGGACCTGTCTACTCTTGGGTAGACAGTTAAGCAGCGGGGGCAGGGGCAAGTAGTGTGTGGGCAGAAGCTACTTTGGAGGGTACCACTCTGGATCCTGGCTTCACCACTGGCTACACCTGTTCCTCTTTTGGAAAATAAATAACAGGATCCATTCAAGGTTTTCAGAAGATTATAACTGGATTATAACTCAGTGTAATAACTTAATATTTCACACAATGGCTGGCTTGTGCTAAGTTCACTAATGAGTTTAAAGAACAAAATGAAAACTCATGTAAAAAAACTGCAAAAAAAAGGTCCCCCCCCCCCAAGTAACTGTTAGTTTGCATATCCTATCTTCAAGCATTTAATTCTCCTGATTCTTTTTTTTTCCTGCCAGAATTTGTTTTGGTTTGGCATAGGACAAGCGACTATGTTATTACTTCCGGCTGTAATCTTTGCTGTGAAGCTGGCTAAGTACTATCGTCGAATGAACTCAGAGGATGTCTATGATGAGTGAGTAGCTGCGTGTCTTCCCTTGGAGGCTGGGGAACCATTTTCCAAGTAGTTCTGTCTTCTAAGAACTGCTAAAGATGAACTCTGATGACCCTGAACTTTTTCTTTAAATGGTGGGTCGTTCTGTTCTGGTGGGTTGGTTTGTTTGCTAATGTTTTATACTGGTTTTCTTATGCTTATCCTGTTTTCTTTCTCTTGCTTGATCTCAGTTTCTTTAACCAGCCTTCTTACTTCTTGTTTGCAGTTCCACTGTCTCGGGGACTTGGCATTTTACTTTATGATAACTGTTGTTACTACTCTTCCTTTTGGCTGTGCAGCCCACCTTCTGCTCGTGTGTGGCCAACCTCTGCGTCTCACTGTTGCTTCACTCATCTCTCCGTGTTGCTTCACTCATCTTCTCTACATGTTTTTCTCTAGAATTTGCACTGTCAGCAACTGTCCTGGAGGGAAAGTGTGGGGGATGTAGCTGTTGAGCTTGAATAATAACCAAAAAATGAATAATTCTATCTCCCCTTTTTGTATTTTATAGCGGTGAAATTCTACCCATGAAAACGTAAGCCTTTTTTTTTTTTTTTAAACTATCCATAGATGGGATGCGAGAGGCTTTTATTATATAACAAATTTTTAAATGAAATTAATAACATCTTAACTGCATTACAGAGGGTAGACATATCCAAGTAAAAATTAATTATGACACCTCTTAAAACAAGGGCCAACACATAGAAAGCACTTGAAGAACATGAAGGAATGAAAATTTCATATGTTAACTTGTGCCAGGGGGGTTATAAGTCAGATGCACAAGCATCTGCCTGGCAAGTGCAAGGTCCTGAGTTTGAATGCCGGTACCAAAAAAAAGAAAAAACATATATATATACGTTAACTTTTTTTTTAGTTCTCATTAACACAGTATTTATTGATACTACTTATACAGTAAATTAGGTTGAATGTGAGTTTTGGGTAGCCTGCATTCACCATTTTCTTGTGTGCATAAGTACTTTCTCATTTACAAGTAGGCATTTATCTTTGGTATCCATCAGGTATTTGCGCAGATATTGGTTTCTGTCAAATATTAAAAAGCAACTGAAGGCTGGGGATATAGCTCAGCGGCACAAGTGCCTGCCTGGCAAGCACAAGGTCCTGAGTTCCATTCCCAGTACCACCAAAAAAAAAAGTATCATGAAAAAAATCAACTGAGTTTCTATTAAAATGAAACTAAAAGTGATTCCATGGAGAGTGGTTGTCTGATTACCAAACACACCTGATGTTAAATGTCATTAAAGTGCTGCTTGATCACCTCTGTTGGTTTGTGCTAATTAAGACAGAAAGGGCTGGGATTTTATAAATCCCAAGAGTCTTATCTGAACAGTCTGCATATCTAAAAGTTGTTTTTAGTCTGGTGAAGCGGTATCCATGAAGCCGTGGACCTCTGCATTCTCGTCTTTGCTGGTCAGTAACAGCCATCTTTCCAACTGTCATCTTTTATGCTGCCATAGGTTTTAGGAGCTGGCAAAGATCTGCGAACAGGCTGTGCAAGTTTGCTGCGAGGCCCTGGGATGCCCCAGCAGAAGGGGCGCTAGGTCTGGGCAAGCCGCTTCGCACTGCAGTTGTCCCTGCTGGTCTCATTAGCGTGGTGCTATTGGTATAGCTGGGAGGGTTTGTTGGGACTGTGTTCTGAACCACGGGAGGCCCAGGCGAGGAGGTGGTTTGTGTGAACTGTGTTGTTTCTTGGCTATCAAGGAGACCCAGGGCCATGATTACTAAATGCTTTCTTTGGTTGCCAAAGAGCCAAAGGAGATGGTGCTGCTGGGGTGCGGAATTTGCCGGGAGAAGGTATGGCTGAAGCCTGAGATTGCATATGAGGTACTCCTCCCTTCAGCACTGGAAAATTTGAATCACTTCTGCTGCTTTTCACTGAGTCAACTTGTGTATTAGATGTTCTGGACAGGTTTGGAAGACTGCGTCTTAGTTTTTCATCATTTTTAACATTGCTTGTCTGTAAATCTGTGGGATGACCTTGAATGAAAGGCGAGGTTGCTGTAAGCGGCTAATCACAGGCTGCGGGGACACTCTAATAGATTCTGTTCCCCAAGCTGGAGATCGTGAACGCGGTGAATTTCTGGGTGACTGCTTAGGTGATGGTGGAGGTGAACTGCGTGGTGATGGTGAAAACCCGTTAACAGCAGGGTGTGCTCCGTGATGCATATGGTCATCTTCATCATCCAAACTTTGGGCATCAAGTTCCTGGTCACTAAATGTACCCTACCTGGTAGAACTGCAAGATGAACCAGAAGTGTGCCAAGATGTGGTGGCTGCATTTTTTTGCTGAAGACTTTCTTCTTGCATCAGTTTCATCATTTAGCTTATAAATGGATCCAACTGAATCTTCGTCTAATTCTGAAGCACTAAACTCACTATCTGTAGAGGAGTGAGGACTGAGTGGAGGGTTTCTGTCTGGTGAACTTTTAAAGTTATCTGAATTTCCAGGAAGTATAAGCTGTTTGACTGCAGGAGGTGGCACTGGGGTTGAAGATGGGAGAATGGAAGCCACTGCTGTATGGGCTACTGGCATTTGGACTGTAAGGACTTGTGTAACTCATGGAGTTGAAAGGATTGTTGTACAAATTCTGCCTCTTGAGAGCTGACATAGTTTGATCAGGTTGGTGGATAAGAGATTTTTTTAGCACATTCAACATCAGGACTAGGGTAATCCAAAACTTGTCTGCACCAGACTAGTAGATTAACTGATTTCTGCATTGGTGTAAGTTTTTTCTTTGGTGATGAATACAGCCAGCTCTCCTCTGCCTCCTCCCAGCCTGACAGAGACTCCATCCGAAGCGGATCCACGTCCTCCAGCAGACAGCCCTCTCTCGCCTCCAGCACGACCCCCAGCTCCTCGCCGCCCGCCCACCTCGGCCCCCACCTGGCCCCACCGCCCGCCTTGGCGCTGAGGCCCAAGGGGACGCCGCGCCGGAGGACGGGGTGGACACGGCCTGCACCGGGCTGCCGGCCGAAGGAGCCCGCGGCCTGCACGGCCCCCGAGCGGCTCCTCAGCTGCTGCTCGTTCTGCTTCTCCAGCTTCTTCACCAGCTCCTGCAGCTTCCGCACCTCCTGGTCCGCGTTCACGTTGCAGTTAACGTCCTCCATCCCGGCCCCGCCGCGCACCGCGGGCTCAGACTCAGCGACAGGGAACACGCCAGAGGAGGCGCCGCCCGCCACCGCTCACCCCCGCCCAGGCGCCGTCATACAGCGGGGCCAGGCTCCACTGATACAGGAAAATAAAAATTCCAACCTGGACAATGTCGGGGACAAGTTCCTGTTCTCTAAAGTCAAAGAATGAATTTTAGGAACAATGGAGGTTAAGAGCAGAATGTGTCTATTGAAGGGATGAAAGCTTCTGTCCAAGAGAGGGACAGAAGGGGGCCCGAGTGGGTTGCCCCCGACTCTGTCTTTTCTAGGGACTTTTGTAGACCAAAACCACCAGGTGAGGTGGGTCTAAAATAGGGGGAAAATGGGAAATTACATGGTGGGCATAAGGTGGGACAAAGCTATGGTCAGCCAATAAGATTACAAGTATAATTGTTCAGGTAAAATGGAGTAATCAATTTTAAAAAACTGGGATCAAATGGGGAAGCGAGTCCCCCCAACAAGAGGGCATGAATACAGAACAGGAGCTTTTCCTGTAAGGGGTTGGGTCAGTGATTCTTCAAGGTGATTGCTACCTCTTCAGAATTCCGATCCGTCCCTGATGTTCACACCTAGGGAGGTATGTGGGTGCATTTGTTTAGTCCTTTTGTCTTGAGGTCTGGCCCACAGGTATCTTATCTTGTCGTTCATGTTGGCTCCTTCCAGGGCCTGGCCCTGTCTGACTGCCTATAATATTTCTATCTGACTCAGCCGCCTATAACATTCCCCCCTCTGAAGAAGTAACCCAAAGTGCCTTGCGGGAGTAAGGGGCGATGACCACTCTGGCTTCTTCAGGCTGAAAGGGGTTGTAGTTGTCGATCAGCAGTCAGAGATACTCTTCAGAGGGTCTGTCTAAAGGCCCTCCACAGACATCAGGCGTTTTCATCATGGGTAGGCATACAGCTTTAAATCTGGAGGAGGCAAAGCCAAACAATTAAGTATGCATGGGCTAAATAATAAGATCAACAGGACTATTATGAATATAGTCAACAAAGATTTCTACCAAGAGGAGCTGGTAATGGCCTCCCATAGAGAGGATAAGGTCAGAGCTATGAGCTGTACTAGCTAAGCACTAGTGCCAGGTGTGAGGAACTTTCAAGAGTCTAATGTGAAGTTACCACTGCATACCCTGCCTTTCTTGTCCCGTTTTCCATGAAGGAGCTGCCATCACAGAAAAGGATCAAATCAGAGTTAGTAAGAGGTATGTCTAATAAGTTTTCTCTAGCTGCATATGTACGGAGAATTACCTGTTCACAATCATGTCTGTCATCCTCAATTTCTTCCTTTTCTGGCAGAAAGGTAGCAGGGTTTAAGGAGGAGCATGTCTTTATTTGAATGGCTGGTCCTTCTAGAAGTAGAGTCTGGTATTTAAGATCTGGCTGTCTGATAGCCAGAGGCTCCCTTTGGAGAAAGGAAATCCTGCCACATTGTAAAGCGTGTATAGAGTGAGATCTTTACCTAAAGTTAGCTTGGATGCTTCTGGCACTAAGAGAGTTACAGCTGCCGTAGCTCTAAGGCAAGGAGGTCATCCCTTTGCTACAATGTCTAATTCATGACTCAGATACCCTACAGGCTGTTGAGTGGGTCCCAGATCCTGTGTAAGTACCGCTAAAGCCATACCTCGCCTCTCATTGACATATAAATTGAAATGGTGCCCTGTGGGGAGGCTTAGGGCTGGACATTTAAGAGAGCTTGTTTAAGCTTCTGGAATGCTGCTTGGGAATCAGGTACTCAGGTTAAAATATGCGTATCTGTCTTTTGGGCCTCTTTTATAAGTTGACAGAGGGGTCTTGCAAACTCCCCAGATCCTGGAATCCAAAGGCAACAAAAGCCTGTAATTCTTAGGAATCCCTTTAGCTGTTTTAGGGTCTGGGGCTGTGGGAAGGAAAGAACTGGTTTAATTCTGTCCTTTCCTAGCCTTCTGGTTCCCTTGGATATGATGAGGCCTAAATATTTTACCTCAAGACTGAAAAGTTGTGCTTTAGATTTGGAGACATTATAACTTCTATCTGCTAGAAAATTTAGCAAAGCACAGGTGCCTTGGCTACAGAGCTTTTCTGAGGGGGCACATAAGAGAATGTCATCTACATACTGTAAGACTGTGACCTGGGAAAACTCAAAGCATGCCAAAGCACTTGCCCAAAAAGTTGTGGACTATCCCTGAATCCTTGGGGAAGCACTCTCCACGTCATTTGAGAGGCCTGGTCTTGAAGATCTTCAAAAGCAAACAGAAACTGGGAGTCTGTATTTAAAGGAATACAAAAGGCATCTTTTAAATCTAACACTGAAAACCAACTGGCATCTTCTGGAATTTCAGAAAGGAGTGTATATGGGCTAGGTACCATTGGGTGAATTGGCACTATGGCCTCA